GATACCTGCTAAAATCTTTGTTTTTGTTTTCTTTACGATGATGAAGAGACCTATGTGCATGAAATCTCTCATCAGATATATCTACTCAACAACCAAAACACTAACACTACTGAACAATAGACCTCCGTATATGTTAATACGAAAGGTTCAGTTCACTTCTAGCCATGTACTTCCCCATATTTCAGCAAATTATTCGAAGCTAACCACAATGGAAAAGTTTTCTTAAAGACAAGTTATGTCTACTATGTGAGTGGATTCTAATTAGACTTAAAGCTTGAGGTCGTTGGTAGTATCGATAAGAGATAATACCTCAAGCACCTATTGTTTCAAAGCTATTTTAATTTGCTCTGATTCTATAGTAACTCAATGTGGCTTTTATTCAAGATGACGTTAAACTGGACTAACTTTGTCTAACATTTATTCAATGTGAAAATAACCAAAACAGGTTGATTTGGTGATTGAATGTGTAAATTATGCTCAACTTTGGTGAGCATTGATCAGCAGAGAAAGTGATCGTAAGTTCAGACAGAATGGATTTTCCTTCAGCATACAATATGGTCGGAATGAATTAACTGTACGCCCGAAAAAATTATTTCGTGAGATGTTAATTGAACTCACCTATCCCTCAACACTAGAAGTTACCGATATTAGGGCCTTATTAAGTTACCTTAGTGGGGATTGGGTGGTTTAAGTCAGTGGTTTATAAAGTAGTTCTTGAAGTCCTTCTCAGATACAAACTTGAATAAAGCACATAAACACGAAAGATAGTAAACATACTTGTTTTGTCCCCCCGGAATGTATACATGTATAAGTATCCGTAAAGTAAAGCTTCCTTGAGGCTGTTAATCTGTCCTTTTATCAAACAAATCAGTGCTTTTGACGAAAAGCGACGAGAACTTTACAGTGGTCGATCCGTAGATCACCAACGTAGATGATCTGTTTCGAATGATTTGGTGTCTACTTGAGTTATATGTGAATGGCGTGATCAACCAGCTAACGTCAAAGTCACAACTCACGGTTAGTATCTAAGTGGATTACTACGGCTACTTCGACTGCCGTAAAACAAACGAAGTTATTACACAAATGTTATCAGGAGAAAGTACAAGAATCAGAGTGCGACTGTAGTGAGCTCATTCAACTCTCGTATTATTTGTCCGCTCACTGTAACTTAGACATTTATCCACTATGTAAAATTATGTGTGAGTCTGACTGAGCGCGTGAACATCAACCATTATCTATTCTCTCATTGGTTGTAAGACATAGAAAATCAGTAATTTGTCCACAGTCGATTAGCACATAAAAATATATTAATTTTTAACACACACTCTCAATAGACTCCTTATGTACTTGCCATCTACCCGCTTGCGGATTTTTACCAGTCATTACCAATAGACTATATCTACAACTGATGTTCGGGCTTTTGAATAATCTCTAGCAACTTAATGATACTACTAGGAGATTTAGCCTGCTTAAATACTCAGCTAGTGGGATACTATTTATTGGGGTCATATATAGAGGAATTAACATCCACACAATCAAGACCGCATGGGCCCGTTCACGGAGTGCGATTGATTGATCGTCATTCAGCTTGACAAAGGTCAATAAGCTGTTCGAAATTTTGTGACCCATCTGTCAAATGATTTGGCCCAGTCACATTTCACTGGCTCTACTGCCTCATGGTTTCCAGTGACTAGAACGAATTTATATAGCTTAATGATTGAGACATACAAGTGATTTTTCATGTTAGATGACTGATACTGAATTGTAGCCAAATCATGATCACTCACAAATAAATTACAGCTACCTAGCAAACGGAACAAAATATATCCAAACTCCCAGGGTTGCCTATAGAATCAATATTGGACAAACATTGAGAAAAGCTACCTGAAACGAAAAGGATACTACTTTTTTCGTCCCCCAAAAACAGTGAACCTACGAAATTACGGAAATCATTGATGGTTCAAATTATGTTTATTCAAACTTTTCATTAGGAACTGAAGTCCCCTCCACAAAACATGGTGCTGTAACAAGAATTGACCTAAAAAACTTGTTCTGTAATTCGTCAAAGAGTTAGGCTTTTAACTCATGAATTGGGCGATCCATAACAACTAAATGAAGTCTCATATTCCATCAACAACTACATCAAAATATTCGCTCCAAAAATATATGCATTTGTCGTATGAATGATCTGTAAGCCTCGCTTAAGGAGCTTCTGTTCCTAGAAACGGTAGATCAACGATGCCTCAGTATGTGTACCTAGGTATATGAAAAACGGAGAAGTGAAGTATTTGTAAGTTAGCATATTTGACAGTCCAGCTCGGCTCTGAATTTGAATAAGATGACTACATGGTCGCTTCTATCTAGAGGTGGTAGGAAAGTAATTTGACCGACGTCATCACCATCTGTGAAAAGTAGGTTTAAGAGAGACGAGGAGCTTCTTAAGTCATATGTGGTGTAATATCCAATGTGTTGGAATAAAGCTAGTGAATTCAGGTTTCTAACAGTGCAATCGAATGACGTTATAGATGACTCTGCTTCAATAGCTTTACGAATCAGCAGAGACTTTGCAGAATAAACTGCTTCGCACAACCAACGTAATGAGGACTCGTAGCACTTTTATATGTAGTCGGTGTGAGTCCGGTGCACATTGAAGATGCCACGGGTATTTGTAGTTTGGCAACGCTTTAACCAGTAACACATTCTAATATGAATCGTACCCTCCAAGTGAAATCAAAAGACAGAAACGAGTAGGTTCCAAGATATATTCGATAGTTTATCAATATATCGTGGATCGACTGATCTAATCTGGGTAGCGATTGCGAGGATGCTGAGCACGGCGTTCCCACTCGTGATTTGATACGGATGCATGACCGAGCGCCTTCAGCTAGGTGAGTGCATCAAAACCAATGTGTTCAGCATCCAATGTCGAAATCTTGCAGAGCTATTTATTTTGGGGATTTATTTACCAATACATATCACTCCTCCCTAGTGGGGTAGTGATGACCCTAAGACGTGGTCAGCCAGAAGTTTAAACCCAATGAGTTTGTCGTTGGTAAACACCCTTCTGATAGCTTGCTATGCTTAGCAGCGTCTGGTCGTCTTTCCTTACTATAAAGGACGATGAAGTACAACATAGCAAAAAAAGCACAATAAAATTCCCGGTTCCTTGTAAATTTCATCGTTTTTTAGTTGTCTTCTTCAGCCGTTCTGGAAGAGGAAAAACGTACGTGCATGTCGTAATACACTCGTACGCGCGTAAAAACACAAAGCGGGCGAAAAAAGAAAAATAAACTCAAACACACGTAATAGCGTAGAAAAGAATTTTTATAATATGGGTTTTTGTTTTTTTTAGGAATGAAAATATAAATATATAGGCATATAAAAATTTTTTTCTTTATATTACACGCAGTACAGAGAAAAATCGAGATGATATAAAATGTCAGCAAGTATCTTACGTGCAATAATCGTTCAAATGCTCTGGAAATCTTGCTCTTCTTCCAGAACGCGTTGTTTTAAGTTTATTTTCTGATACTGCCGAACTATCATCGTGCGCGTTGGTTGTCGAATGAGGTATTATAAGTGTAGGAGCCATGTCGTTCGATTGTACGGAAGGAAAATCGACGTGAATAGGATTTCCTTCTAAATAAGCTGCTTTGAGGCGATCGATGCTCATGCAATCGTTGGTTCCGTTCTTATCGACTATACGGTACATGGATTCGTGTTGAAGAGCTTTGAAAGATCCTTCATATGCTGATTTGAGAGGTCGTCGATGTGAGTCTCGACGGACGAAAACGTGTGTACTCTATAGTAAGTCAGGTTGAACGAAAACATCAGTTGATTGCGGTCGAAAGAAAATAGGTTTAATTGAACGCATTGCGTTTGTAAGCCTATCGTGAAGGGGGTCAGATCCATGTTCATTGAAGAAGATGAGAGATCCACGAATTCTGGAAGTCGAAGTGTCGTTCCATAAACGAGTTTAGCCGCAGTTTATCCAATATCAGCTTTCACTGCATTGTGAATACCTAAAAGGACGAGTGTTGGTCTACCAGGAGTCAGTTCCAATTCGCCATTTCTGAATGTTTACAGTAATGCCACCTTTTTGTAGTTGTTCGAAAACATGATCCAGATGCATTCGCAAAAATTCGTAGAGTCCAAATGGGGTTATGATAGCGGTTTTCGGCATATCGTCAGTAGCCATAGAGATTTGGTTATGCGCTTTAACCAAGTCGATTTTCGCAAAGATAGTTGTACCTTTCAAGGTAGCTGTAAAATCGTGAATGTGAGGCAACGGGTAACGATCGGAAATGGTTTTTGCATTTAGTCGCCGATAGTCACCAGTTGGACGCCAATCGTTGCTGTCTTTTTTAGGGACCATGAGCAATGAAGATGGCCATGGACTATTTGATTCCTAAGTCTATCATGTGGTCGAATTCGTTTCTGGCCAACCTTAGCTTTACGGGGGCCAGTTGGCGCGCTTTCGAGAATACAGGTGGTCCTGTAGTCGTGATGGTAAACTTATCTGGAGAAAAGAGGTATATTTGTGGAATGATTTAACTGAAATGAATTCAATTATAGCAAAACAGCAGTCTTGATGTGTAATTTAACAATCAACACTATAAAATATACTGAGAGGAAAAATACCACTACCTTTTTTGAATAGCGCGCGAATACAACTGGTCGGTTTATTCCGATATGATTTAAGCCAGTCGGTCTAAGGTAACTTGATACCCACTAGCTTGGACTTTTTGACCGGAAATATGTGATCTTCTATGACAAAATTGTTTTGAAGTGTCAGTGCAACGTCTTCCAATGAAAATGTCTATGGTGTTTATCAATTTCCTACTGTTTTTCTGGTTCGCACTATTTTCTTATTTTGTGAGTTCAAGAAAGAATAACAGAGAGATTTTAATTATAATTCCTTGAGTTCGACTACTAAATTTTCACAACAAATGATTATTGAAACGTCTTTTCATGATCCCGCGGGTGGTACGCTTTCCAAGATGGCTGGTGTAGGTCCTATTGTTAGGTGGAGGAAAGTTTCGGCGGCCACTGGGAATGTCCCCAGATCAAGACACGGACACAAAGCTGTGGCTATCAAGGACTTGATCGTGGTTTTCGGTGGTGGGAATGAGGGAATAGTGGACGAACTTCACGTTTTCAATACGAGTAAGTGTTATTTTCGCCCATTTGCTTTAGCAACCTGCCAATGGTTTCTTCCCGCTGTACATGGAGATATTCCTCCAGGATGTGCAGCTTTCGGAATGCTGGCAGAAAACACTCGTGTGCTCATGTTTGGTGGCATGCTTGAGTATGGCAAATATTCAGGCGACTTATACGAACTACAAGCCTCTCGTTGGGAATGGAAACGTCTAAAGCCTAAGCCTGCTAGAAATGGCCCCTGTCCATGTCCAAGGATCGGTATGATCTCTTTTATTCTGATTTTTTTTGGTAGGGCATAGTTTTACTCTTGTTGGTCAGCGAGCATTTTTATTTGGTGGGATAACAAATGACAGCGATGACCCTAAAAACAATATACCAAGGTAATCACTCTTGTTTTTCTGCTTAATTGGTCATGCGTTGTTTAGTGGTTTTGGTTGTGTAAATTAGTGTCCAGTAACATGTTTAGACTGGTCATCTAATCTTAAAGGAAGATTACTGTTACATTATGTACTAGGTCACCGGTATATTTCTAAATTAAACTCAAGTTTAGGGGATATCCCTTGTATCTTGTAACTGATCAAGATCAAGGTGCTCAGCTTCGCTACTTCTCTCTAGTTATCGACACCTGTAAACAACTGTCAGCGACATAAGGAGTTTCGATAATTCATTGACTTATAGAAAAAAAATCGACACAAGGTGGCGCTTTGGAGTACATGTCTTTTGATCAGCTTCCGTTCAGATCGTTTTTCATCTACTCTCACATGTATTCAACCACAAAGATATTTTCTTATCTACTCTTTTACAGTACCTGTTATTCCAAAGCTTTTTTAAAGATCTATGAACACCACATCAATGGAAAAATCGTTATCTTAGGTTGCTATCTGATTCTCTCTAGCAAATAGTTATGCACGAATGCTTAAGAGATCTGTGTTGCTCAAGAGTCATTGAATTATATGATTCTCTGTGACTTCGTAACTTGACCCTCATTGGTTTTCTCATGTAACCTAACTACTATGCTGGTTAGACTGATAGGTAAGCGGTTAAACATGATCTCTCCATACTTTAATATTGGGCTAACCAAATCATCCTTCCAGTCCCTAGATGGTTGAGTGCGAGGAAGGGACATATTTTTCTCGTAACTTTCGAGTTCTAATTTCTAGTTTCCTCTTGGTTATGTCTCGCCTCCAATCCATTTATCGAGCCTCATTACTTTATTAATATGTACTACCTTCCGACAGTACATTTCTGATGGCAGGTCCAACTAACTCCAGAATGTGTGTATGCCTTTTAGCAGGGTCGTTTTACAAGCCCCCTCCAAATTTCGTCAACAACATCCGCCGCGAATAAGCACTGTGTAGGACTCTCCTCGCAGTGGGTGTGTACGTGTGACCAGATCATTTCGAGAGGTAGAACTGAATCTTGCCTTTCTCGGTTGTACCAGGGCATTTGGTATTTTCTTTGTCCCGACAATGCGGGACTTATTTCGGTTACGTGTAACGATGGTTTGGACGGGGGTTATCTTTTTGGGTGTATCGACAATTGGAGTCAGCCTGTCGACGAAGATTACTAGTTGAGTTAACGACACTATCAACTGCACTTGTTTCTTTCTCATCTGATGTCAAACTTAGCGTATATTGTCCCTCGCCAGTGTGAGGTCTAAGGCTTCATCTAACAGTTGTCTTAGTAACGGAACATTCCTTAAATAATCACGGTGAGGTCGGTCTACAACAATTTTCATGCACGGCGGGTAATAATTTGTGAAATCATCTCTTACATCCGTCATATTGCATACCATTTTCAACAAGGAATATGCATAATGGTCAACCGCATCGATAACTTTGAATGGCCATTATGATCGGCACGATGCGGATAAAACAAGAAAAGTTCAGACAGCTGGAAAATCCAACTCAGGAAAAAAGAAACACGGTGTATGTCAACCACAGATACACACCAACAAAAAATACGCATGAAAATTATTTCACAAACCTTAGTAGCATTAAAAGCGATATATATGATCTTAAACTTCTGGTATGATGAATTCAACAGAAATCTAATATCTTAACACGCGGAAAAATTCGTTTCCTTTTATCAAATTTCATGGTAAATCTTGCTAATAAGGTTCGTTATTCAGTCTACAGTAGTTTCCTAAAATAATAGTTATTGGTCCATAAAACATCTTCCGGCGAAACTATAATTTATAGGCAACTGTCATGTCGGATTCCGTCAGTAATTCTCTCTCATGGGGATTTATCGTCCGATCGCATTGAATCACCATGCATCTATTAGTCGGCTTTATATTCATTTTAGCTATTAAAGTATGTTCTTGTTTTATCTCAAGTTATCTGTACTCTTTATTTTGTAAAATATTTTTATAATTAGATACTTAAACGATCTGTACACTCTGGAATTAAAACCCAATTCAAGTACTATGTGTTGGGATATTCCAAACACATATGGTCAGCCACCTACACCTAGAGAATCTCACAGTGCAGTAGCTTATCAGGTCCTTGATGGAATGATAAAGAAATGGCGTCTTTTGGTGTATGGTGGCATGTCCGGTAACCGACTTGGGGATCTTTGGCAATTAGAAATTGATACCATGACATGGATCAAACCTATCGTTAGTGGAGATCTACCGGCTCCACGCAGTCTTCACAGTGCAACTGTAATCGGAAACCGGTAAGTGTTACGAAAAATCCTTTTATTGTTGCGGTAGGTTTTATCCTACGTCCTGTTATCTATCGTAAACGATTTAATGTGCCTTAAGGCACTTCTTAGCTTATGTTATCATTTGTTTATTGTGTATTCAGGTTAGGAAACGTAATCAGCACTTATTTTAGGGTGATCATTAGCCTTGCTTTAAGACTCACGATTTTCCCATAAATTGAGAGTTTTTATCTAATTAACAAACAAAATATATGCGAGTATTGGTCAATATTTGGACGGATAGTTCGGCAGGAATAGGGCGGGGAGTATAGAGACGTTATTTGTAAAATTATATATATACCTCAAAAGATGAATCCATTTTCTGATCAGTGACATGTACTTTTGCTTTAGGTGATTGCTGATTGACTCATAGTAGCCTTATCATCTGGCTATTTCTGATTGACTCATTTTTTCAGGTCAAGTGGTTAAAGGACTATACTTTCAACGTGATAAATACAGGTAAAATTAAATGATTTTGACAGCTTCGTAGGAAAACCAATCCAGTGTCCGGTCTCCAAAATGAGTTTGTCACATGAGGTTTGAAAAATTAATTTGTGTCTTTATCGTCTTTTGACAGATAGGATATGACAGTGATCCATTTGGTATTCAGTCAGTCAGTCAGTCAGTAACAACGCAGGACTTCGTACGTACGTACATCAGTTCGAGTTGCCACACTACATTAGCACAGAGATGCAGTTGTCGATTTAAATCCCGTAGTGTTAGAGGTAGTAAGAGTATAAACAGTAATCGGAAAGATTAGGGTTTGAGGATGCTTTCCAAGGAGTATAATCCAGCGAAATAAATTTGGAAAGACGAAAAAAGGAACATGAATTCAGAAGATTAGAATTTGGGAGAACACAAAGAGTGGATGCACCTGCCCAATCGGAAACGATTTTGAGCCACGTCATTCAAGGTCTCTATCCATCGGTTGCTATCATCTCGCGGATCCCAATCAGGTAGTCTACACCTACCAACATGGCTCAGTTCACTTGTCAGTGACTTCATGGATTTGTGCTATGTTTTGGTCTGACTGCCCCTAGCTTTCTTCCAACCTACTCCTACACCACAAAACATCGCTCGTCGGGGCAGTCGGTGGTTGGGCATACGTAACACGTGTCCCAGTCATCTCAACTGTTGAAGTTTCACTACTTCATCAATTGATTTGTCATCCTTACCTAGTATCCGTTTCCTAACAACTGCATTAATTACTCGATGGTCCCAGGATATACGAGCAATGCTTCGAAGACACCTGATCGAGTACTAGAAACCTACGAATATGCTCCACTGTTACCGGCCACGTTTCACTGCCATAAATTAGGACAGAACGAACTGCTGCGCAGTAAACCCGTCCTTTGGTTGATAGACGGATAGGACGAAAGTTGGCAAAAGCTAGTCGAGCCTTCTGTATCTTTGCTGAGATTTCGTCACACACTAGACCACAAGGGCTGATGAGACTTCCTATATAAGTAAAGCGGTCGACACGCTCAACTACTTCACTCCTTATAATTATTTCGGGTGTCGATACAACTCTAACATGAAGCAACATTTTACATTTCGAGGGAGAGTATCGCATCCTGAACATGCTTGCATTGTTGCTTAGAGTGGTCAGAAGACTGCATTTTGTCAGCGCTTTCACCAAACAGAAATATATCAACGGCATATTCTAAGTCAAAAAGTGAATCTCTCGGTAGAAGTTCAACCCACGGAAATTTAGATGAGGAAAGTGTCATCTCTAAAAGTATATCAATGACAAAGTTAAACAAGAATGGAGAGAGTGGGTAGCCCTGACGAACACCACTTGAGATAATCAATTCTGATGACAGTTCGCCATAAGCTCTCACTCGACTAGTTGTGTTCGAGTAGAAAGCCTTTACAAAGTTAATGTACTTCTTTGGTACTCCTTTCAATGACAAACACTGCCACAGAACCTCACGATCAACAGAGTCGAATGCTGCTTTAAGGTCAAGAAATACTACTATTTTGGGGCGTCTGAATGTGTGTCTATGTTCTAGGACCTGACGTAGTGTGAATATCTGGTCTATACAACCACGTCCAGGTTGAAAACCAGCCTGATTTTCTCTAGTCTGCTCTTCACGAGCTTTAGTTAGGCGTCGAAGTATTATTGAAGCTAATATTTTAGACACTATATTAGTCAAACTGATTCCTCTGTGATTGTCACAAGAGGACTTTTGTCCTTTCTTATAGACTGGCACAATCAGTGATTGAGACCAGTCAGATGGGATTACGTCCAATTCCCAAATTCTACCTAAGACCTCGGTTAATCTCACTGCTAATACTGGACCACCATCCTTAAAAATCTCAGGAGTAAACCTGTCAGGGCCTGCTGCTCTCCCTCGCTTCAGATTTCCTATAGCTTTTTCAACTTCGTAAAGAGTCGGAGGACCTAAATTAACTTGCCATTCAGGTTGACTAGAGATCGTGGGAAACCGAAGTGTGGCTGAAGGCCAGTTGAACTGATCCCTAAAGTGTTCTGCCCATCGACCCAATCTCCTGGATTGAGAATGTATAATATGTCCATCTTTCTCTGAGATTGTTTCGCTAACAGTCGGATACCTAATACCGGTTTCCTTAACAAATCTGAACAATTGTCTGCTATTACCTATTGCCGCTGCCTTTTCCATCTCTCTTGCTTTCGCTACCCACTACTGTTCACAATCATTGCGTAGGCTTCTTGTCAGCTTGCGCTTAAGCTGACTCCGTTCTTCGTTATGTTCAGAGCCAGATGGAATGAGTTTTCGAGCATCTATCAGTGCGGTAGGTGCTGCTGAGATCCAGTGTTGCTCCCTAACCTTACGGTTTGCCGTACTAGCAGATATTACTGCTGTTTCCACAGCTTTTCGGATATCATTCCATGCTGCATCGGGGTGGGCATCACCTACATGGCTGCCTAACTGTTTTCCAAGTTGTTCCTGAAATAAACTCTTAGCTTGACAATCGTTAAGTAGGGCCCTATTGATTGATTAATTCAGTAAGTGTCTTCCTTCAGTGACAACTGCTTAGTTTGGTGAAATTCTGGAATTTTCAATCATTGAATATTATTAAACAGGACCCTAAGAGGTTTCCTTGCAGCGTCTTTCTTACGTCCAGTAAGACGCAGGCAAATACGCGCTCGTACTAGAGCATGATCTGAATCTAAGCATGTGCTCCAGAATGAGCGACAGCCTTCTATCGAGCCCCTCCATCGGTGGCTGATAGCGATGTGATCTATTTGGGTCCAACGTTGGGACGAAGTAGGGGGTCGCCATGCTAAGAGATGTTTTTCCTTATGCTTAAAGTTATTATTTGCAAGGAACAGGCGGTTATCTGAGCATAGCTGAAACAGACGGTCGCCATTATCTGTTCTTTGAGCCGCGACACCATAAGATCCACCTAAGTGTCTTTCCCTATCTCTTAGTTTACCTACTTGAGCATTAAAGTCACCAGCCACTATTACTACATCCGAGCGCCTAACTTTTAGGAGAACGTCGGAAAGCTTTCTGTAAAACTCTCCCTTACATCATGTGAGTTGCAGTCAGTGGAAAAATAGGCAAAGACGACGAAGGGGCAACGACGAGTGTCCCTATCTTTCAGAGTCCTTATTGTTCCGTTTAGTCGGACAGCGCACAAACGACTGTTTACTGGTATCCAGTCTAAGAGAGCTAGTTCTGCCCCAGGACTCAATGCTATACCTACGCCGGCCAGTCCACGTGAAGCAGCATCTGGGCTTCCAGATACACGAAGTGTGAATCGAGTCGGTTCTTTATTTTGGCATGGTGAGGTCAAATGAATGACGCTACTCGGGTCATGTATGCGCGTTTCGGAGACGCAGCACACATCAATGGCTCGAGATTTTAAGGTCTTAGCTAAGGAAGCCTGTTGTCCTGTTTGGCATAATGTTCGGACGTTAAAAGCTCCTACATGTAGTTTAGAGCGTGGTTTCAGGAAACCAGGAATAACGTTCCGCGTACTCGAATCGTTTATCCTAGCGGTGCGAGGTGAAAAAAGGACGTGAGAAGGGTTATTTGGGGAGATAAGAGTGGTATTTAGAGGTGTAGGAAGGATTTGAATGTGACCAACTTGGCATCGTGTGCTGTTACGGGCATGAGGGCTGGTGTCAATTCCCGGCTGCCCAGACCGTGGAAGGGTATTTCTTGAGGAACCTGAAAATGAAATTGGATTAGTGTTGGTCTTAAAGACTTGAGAGCGTGACCGCAAAGCCCAAGGGACAACTGCTTGAGGCCGGTCGCGCACGGCTTTTTTGTGGGAGGTTTTTGACATGTTAGCTCCGTTCTTCAAAGGGTCTTACCGCCGGAGGCAGAAATCCGTGAGGTAAGGTGAGGTGTGACATTTTTAGGGTCGACCTTTTCTAACCCCACCCCTCCTTGTGGGAAGGCAGCATCGCTGTCATGCTGGTTGTCCGAGGGAAACACCTTACTGCTGTCACACCCCTCTACAGTCAGCAGTACGACTTCGCCCTCAGACCTTGAGTTGCTGCTTTTAGTCTTACCGTTCTCCACTCGACCTGCCTGTCATGGTAGAACCTACAGGAACATATGTTCCAGCCAATATAGCTCGGTTGGGTCATCACGATAGGCAAGCCCGACCACCGCGTCAAGGTAGCAGCTACGGTCGGGTCCATTTGTTATTAGCCTTTTTAGTTCGTGTGAATCAAATATATTCGCAACCCGAAGGGAAAATTCTTGGTTATTATTTTGAACGTACTTAATTTCATTTCATAGTTCTAAATCACTTGCCCTTACTGACCAAAACTATTGGATCTGTTTAAGCACCCACGACATCAGTTATTTACATTTTATGTTTTAAATGTGAAGTGTTTTATGTTCGGCGTTTCTCAGCAGTAACCTAGAGAGCGACGTTACTCATTTTCTACTGTTCCTTAACAAAATTTTCGTTGTAGTGTTTCGCATATAATTTCATTAGAACCTGACCAGATTTTTAAATATCAATGTTGATCGATAGCCTTTTATTTTCTTCCGTGTTCTCATTTCTTTAATTTGCTTTGATACTTGACATTTAACCATTACTAGCATGTTTGTCTTCGGTGGATGGGTTCCTTTGGTCATGGAAGAAATTAAAATGACAGCTCAAGAAAAAGAATGGAAGTGTACGAATACTTTAGCTAGTCTCAATCTTGACACAATGGTTTGGGAACCATTGACAATGGAAGTTGCTGACGAATGTCTTCTACCTCGAGCCCGTGCTGGACATTGTGCTGTAGCTGTTCACAGTCGTTTGTACATTTGGTCTGGTCGTGATGGATATAGAAAAGCATGGAATAATCAGGTGAGTTCCTGAATATTGTATAACCGTGTGATAATATGTACTCTAAAATATAATACTAACTGGTTGAATTTTTATCATTCTAGGTTTGCTTCAAAGATTTATGGTTTTTGGAAACTGACCGTCCTGCTGCTCCAACAAGAGTTCAGTTAGTTCGTGCTGGCACACAAAGCCTCGAAGTAACATGGGGTTCTGTACCTACTGCAGATGCTTATATTTTACAAATTCAAAAGTATGATGTTTCTCCTTCCACAACTTCCACACATTCCCTGACATCTTCACCAGTAGATACAAGTGGAATTGTTAAAGCTCCATTAACTGCATCTGCGGGTTCTCTGAACTTTTCAAGAGCTGGTGCTATTTCACAGGTTAGTGCCTCTGGAAAGGCTTTTGAATTTATTCACTTGCTGCTAGCAACAACTTAAGCAAAATTATCAGCTGTTTGATTAACTGACTGACTAGCTTTTCGATTTCGTTCATTACATAGGCCCTCATTACCACACCAGCTCCTGCTAATTCTGTTCCGATACCAACCCCTATCAGATTACCTACTACTACTGCCGCTGTTGGTTCAATAATACCAAACTCATGCGTCACTATGGCTGGACAGAGAGGACCTACTGTAGTTACACCGACAGGTTTAAAGATCACACCTGTTCCAGGCAGTGCTGTTACAGGACGGACGGCAACTATCGCAACTGTAGCACAACATTCCAGTGCAGTTAATCCATGTGGTCCGACGATCATTCGAAGTTCATGTCCTCCAATCGCTCCGAAGCAACACGTGAGTTGCCTTTCTAGTATTCGGTGTTCAACGAGTAAAACTATCCAACACCGAGCTGATGAATTTTTGTAATATTTTATCTTGAGAGTAAATTCTTACACAATTCCCTTTATTATCTTAAAGAGAGCAAAACTAAACAATGGAGCAGAATAATAGGAATTAATTTGATTTCGTTAGGCTATCATCAGCTGCTTACAAATCAAAATTGTGGATATTGACATACTTATAAATACGAAGGTGATTATAGATGAATATGTGTATCATTATGTAGCGAAGATTATAATATAGTTTATAAGGTCATAAAAATTTTTCTCAGACAAATAAAGAGAGGGAAAGTTCCAGAACATCGAACTAGTGACTAGAAATCATAGAGTTAAAAACATTAGATGATTGTGCGATGAAGCAAGTGTAACAGCAGCCTCAGCAGCAGTAGGTCTCAACATACGCAAAGGGAAAAGCGACATTCTCCGATACAATACAGCATGCAACAATCGAATCACACTTGACGAAGATTTGGATGATGTAAAAACCTTTACATATCTGGGCAGCATCATTTATGAACACGGTGGATCTGATGCAGATGTGAAGGCACGGACCGGCAATGCAAGAGCAGCATAATCACAAATGAAGAACATCTGGAACTCAAAACAATTGTCAACCAACCCCGAGGTCAGAATTTTTAATACAAATGTCAAGACAGTTCTCCTGTATGGGGCGAAAACCTGGAGAACTACGAAAGCCATCATCCAGAAGATACAGGTGTTTATTAACAGTTGTCTACGCAAAATACTTCGGATCCGTTGGCCGGACACTATTAGCAACAACCAACTGTGTAAAAGAACAAACCAGATTCCAGCGGAGGAAGAAATCAGGAAGAAGCGCTGGAAGTGGATAGGACACACATTGAGGAAAGACGAGCCCTCACATAGAATCCTCAAGGCCAATGGAGGAGAAGAGGAAGACCAAAGAACACATTACGCCGGGAAATGGAGATAGACATGAGAAAAATGAACAAGAATTGGATGGAATTAGAAAAGAAGGCCCAGGACAGAGTGGATTGGAGAATGCTGGTCAGCGGCCTGTGCTCCATTGGGAGTAACAGGAGTAAGTAAGTAAGCAATGAAGCAAGTGAAAACAGATTAGTGGTAATAATGACTTGAATTAAAATCAATTATGAATTAAAGAGAACTGACAATGATGTGATCAGAACTTGAGAGATTTGAAATAATGAATGATGCAATAAAAAGGGTGTAATGTTACCAGGGCAAAGTAAGATTTACTGGTTTGTTTTTGAACATATATATCTGGTTTTATTTTATTTATTTATTTATTTGAACACAATTATTGGTACAAGTGGGCACCAGATATATATGCGCCACACAAAGCAATGAGAATGGGAACAAAAAAAGAATGTAAGGTGCGTATAAGAAAGAAAAAGAGAACAACAACGACCACAGATTAGTGTATGGTAGTATAATAATGATAATAATAGTAATGGGGGAAACGGAAAGCTACAACCAGAAAGGATTCTTTCAGTTAAGGAAGTTCCAACCCCTTTTTATGAAGAAAGCAAAAGAAGGTTATATCAGGATCGCCACTGGCTTCTATTCTGAGCCATATCTGATAACGTCTCTAGACACTGTGTTGCACCATCTCTAGGACCCCAACCAGGGAGTCGTGAAGAACCAACAGAGTCCAGTCCTGTGCATATTTCTTTCATACCACAACATCAGGTCATACACTGACCACCTCTCCGCTTTTTCCGACCAGTCCCAGCGTCGGCAAATCATGCACAACGAGAAATTTTCTGGAGCAACATTCGAAGAATATGTCAAAGCCACCGAAGTCGATGTTTCAATACGTTGACACCAATTGAATTATCGTCTCTGTGCCTGAACACACGATGCTGAACCTCTGCATTACTAACATGGTGTTGCCACTGGATGTCAGCAATCCTTCGGAGACAACGATGATCGAATACAGAGAGTCGCCTAGCATTCCCAACTCGGAGAGGCCACGTTACACAAGCATAGGGCAATAGTGTTCGCACTGACACATTGTAGATCCGACCTTTTACAGCCAGACTGACATCACGAAGGTGGCAAAGATGGCCCAGATTGGCATAAGCCGCTCTGGCTTTCACTATACGTGAATCGATCTCACCACTCACGCCACCAGCCCTTATGCAGCTACCTAGATGCACGGACTTCTCGACTACTTCTATCTGCTCACTACTCAGGGTGAGTACATAATCAGGGTTCTGCTAGTCTTGTAGAATTTGCACTTGGAAGGTGCAAAGCACATACCATACCTACGGACACTGATTGCCAACTGATTAAGTGCGGGTGTTATCGCACAGTAAGACAATATCATCCGTATACTCAAGGTTGATAAGTCTTTCTCCAGACAACAGATCCACACCGCCACTGCTTACATCCACCAGAGCTGTTTCCAGAATGTCGTCGATGGCAAAGTTGAAGAGGGATGGTGAGATTGGGCAACCCTGTCTAACCCCACTGCTCGAGTAGAACAATGGAGAGAGGTGGTTGTATAGCTTCACTCTATCTGAGGTGTTTGTATATAGGGCCTTTAGGATGTTAATAAACTTCTCAGGCACACTCTTCTTCAATAGACAATCCCAGAGAACAGTCCTGTCCAACGAATCGAAGGCAGCCCTGATGTCAAGAAATACTGCGATTGTTGGCCTTTGATAAGTATGGCGGTGTTCTAACATTTGTCGGAGGGTGAAGATATGATCAATATATCCTCGACCAGAACGGAAACCAACCTGCTCCTCGCGAGTCAATCTTTCTCGGGTTTAGAACAACCTACGAAGTATGACAGAAGCCAACAGTTTTGAAGGAACTGGAAGTAGACTATCCCCCAATAAAATTTAAAGAGACGATGTGAACCTTTTTTAAAAATAAGGACAATTATCGACTCATTTCATGACGTTGGAACATTCTCTAGTTCCCAGACCTTTGTAAACAACATTGTCAGTTCCTTAACTAGAAAGTCACCACCATATTTAAAATCAACCGGGTGCAGGTCGTCTGGGTCCGGTGATTTGTAGCGTTTCAAGAGTTGGATTTCCTTGTGAACTGTCATTCGAGGAACTCTGCTCATCCTCCAAGACGTCGATGGATGTTTGTTATTGGCATCCCGTCATACTCACAGATTGCTTCGCTCACACCAGACTTCTTGCTGCCAGTGGCTTGGGTGAGTTGAGTGAGCTTCCAGTAGTTACCAGATGTAGCTGCTGCTTCTAGCTCACTAGCACGCTCCGACCACCAAGCTTCTCGATCTTTACGCAAGCTTTGCTCGATTTCATTACATAACATCCTTCGTTTGTGATCAAACTCACGGTCATCCGGAGTATACCGACGGGTCTCGATGAGTTGTAGAAAGCCTGAGGGGACCCAGTGCTTATAAGCGGGACGTTTCGCGAAGCCGCCATTTCCATAGCGTCATGCAGCTGCCACCAATACTCATCTATACTTTTCGGTGGGATGGTAACTAACCTAGAACTTAGCTCGGTTTGATACTTAGTTGCAACAGAGGCTGCAATCAATTTACTGACATCCATCCTTTGGTGACGGTCACTTCGTTGGCCACTGAAAAGTAAGATTGGCACACACCAGGGCATGATCAGAGTCCAGATAGGTACTCTGAAAAGTGACAGTTTTGTACACAACCACGACAGCAGTGGGTGATCGCGATGTGATCAATCTGAATACAGGCTTGAGATGCAGAGGGAAAACGCCAAGTGGCACATCGTCGATGACTGTGCCGAGAGTTAGTGCTAGCCAGAAACAGGTTGTGGTCTGTGCACATTTGCAGTAGACGGTCCCCGTTGTCTAACCAAGAAGTCCCCATCGGCCACCTAAACGACTCTCTTCTGTGCCTAGACGCCCGGCCTGATCGTTCGAGTCTCCGGCTTGTACTGCAATATCTGTCGAACTCACTTTCTGGAGAAGAACAGTTAACTGGTGGTAAAATTCATCTTTGATCGCATCGGGGATGCAATCTGTCGGGGCATAGGCGGAGATGACGAAGAGACATCGTTTCTCACGCCGATTTCTTCTCAATTCGATGTAACTTTCTAATCTAACAGCACATATCCGACTGTTAATGGGGATCCAATCGATTAGTGCTGCCTCAGCTCTAGCGCTTAGTGCGACACCAACGCCACAGGGTCCCCGGATAAGCACATGTAAAATAAGCCTTTTGAAGCGACTGGTGGAGAGCGAGTTTGTAGTACTGTACTAGTCTGGAATATAGCGGACCTCGATATTAAGACTTTCTAAAGACAACCAGTCCTATCTGTTGTTCGATCTGCATTAGTGTGCGAACGTTGAAGGCAGCCAGTTTGAATGGTGTACGTGGTTTCAGAAAGACTGTTTCAGTATTTGTATCCGGTGGAAGCATTCAACAGTGACTTGAGATCGTTTATATGGAACAGAATTCCCACCATGTGTGAGCTGCTGTATAAGTTGAAGAATGGGGATACATAAAGTTGGAATAGAGGTAGATGAGTGACGTAGTATATAAAACATAGTAATAATAGAAACAGTGAGTGTTATCAAGTGAATGTGAATTATCTGAATTCTAAAATGAAGCGAGCATAGTATTTCGTGAAGTAATCGTCATCTCCTTAGATTTGTGTGAGGGCTGTGATACTGCCCAGGTGCCCAGATCGATGCAGGTGGTTTTCTTAGGGGGCCACACCCAGAGCCTTCGACCTGAAGGTCTGGTTCACAAGGCAGTGAGGAAACTCAAGGAGTTGCAGTCCCATGGTAGCAGGTGTCCAACGATTGGTTCATATGCTGGAGCCCGTGTGCATCATTAGTTTGGAATCAGGGTTTTCCAACTCCAGTAGGTGGACTCTCCATGTCCACCAACCCGGTTAAAGCGCCGGACGTTCGCTTTTCGTCCTTTCAGTTTCCTAAACAACACCCTCGCCACGAGAACGCAGTGAGTAGAACTTCCCTGGCAGAGGTTATACACGCGTGGTTATATGAGAGCATTTCGAGAGGGAGAGCGGACTCTCCCTACTCTCGGCCGTACCAGGGCATTTGGGGAGCAGATCTGGTTTCAGGCGTTCGGTATCTATAGCGCTGAAAATTTTTAGAAGACTGGAGTTTGATTGTTTGTTAATCATTTTGAAAGACTTCAGTGTTTCCTCTTGATGTTCTGTATCAAGATGTCTAGAGATGACACTTCTGAATGCTTTTGATCCACTTGACCTTTTTGGGATATGTTCTTTGCATCGGATATGCGCTCTCCTTCCTGTTCTACCAATGTTACTGACTTGGCTGATACATGTGAATATGTATATACAGTTGGTGGTAACATAAAAGTGATAGCTATCTTTGATTGTTCTAAAAAACATTGTTTTGAACAAGACGATCGGTTTAGCTGCAGGACAAGTTCTTGTCAATGCAATTTTTAGTCTTACGTTGATTGATCCTGTCACAAAAGATTAATATTCGAAGTTATTTCGGTATGCCCACAAAAATAAGACGCTTACCAAGTGATTTTAGGGGATCTAGCATCCCAACAGTTGGCACGCATTTGTACTATGTTTTTTTCCCAAGTCTGGCTGAGTTATTTCAGCTTAAAACATGTATCCGTGAGAACCTACATACCATTTGTTAGGGAAATTAATAGTGTTCTGAAATACCTTGTATATAGCATTTTAACACGATTTCACCCATTGCAGTTTGTATGGTGAATTAGGTATGGATTAGTGTCATTTTTCACGTTGTGTTTATCTTGACTTTTCTGTTGGTCGTAGGATGTAGGATAATTTATTGTATGTTATGTTCTACATGATACCCGAGTAGAATATTCTGTCTGAGATCGACTTGTTTTTTGACTAACTTATTAACATGAACGTATTTTTCTCTACATAGCTTATTACTGTTAGTGGCAAGCAGGTGGTTTCTGCAGTTTCTGTCGCGAATAACTCCGGTGTAGCTAATTCGAATCCAAATCAAGTAGTACACATTGTAAACAAGTCAACAGGTTTAATCAAACCTATTAAACTAGTTTCGACCACAACTTCATCTTCAACTGCTTCCAGAACTATCACTGTACAACAAGCATCAGTTGGAACTGGCGTTTCAGGTGATCAGTAATTTTTCAAAACTTGGTTTACTTATATTTATATGTTTTAGCTTTGATTTTTCTAAACTCCTGTACAACTTCCGACCTATCGTGTGAACTTACATAATTCGTAAGACAGTAGTTCTTCGTTTAGTTTATTTTGAAAGTTTAAAGAAGCTGTCCGCCCCTAAATGCCCTGGTATGGCCGAGAGTGTGGTGGGCCCGCCCCCCTCTCGAAATGCTTTCACACGGCCATGCGTATACAGCCTCTGCCAGGGAAGTCCTACTCACTGCCTTCTCGTGGCGGGGATGTTGTATACGAAAATGAGAGGACGAATAGCTAATGTCCAATTGAAGTGTATCTGTTGCACATTATGAGTATGTTTAATGAAAACGAATTTAGTTCACTTGTTTCTACAGTAGCCTAAATACTCTTTATTTCCATAAAATTATTAAATCTTATTCTAATTTTACCACCTTTGAGACACATTTTCGTTTTTGTTTATTTGTTTCCTTTTTGATGATAAAGTTTCAAGTTGTACTTTGTTTACTTTTCGTTATTATAGTTCCGAAAGTAATCAAAGCTATTCCAGCAACGATGCTTCAGATGTCTGCGTCTGGTAAGCCTATTTTAATTGCTGGTGGTGGTGTATGCCGTCCGGGCCAGACAACCGTTCAAGTTTCAGGTTCTGTACACAGACCAGCTGGACAGCAAATAGTTATCATGAGTCCAACAAGTAAGACTGTTGTGAATTTTCGAGGTTTTCGTAGTTCTTTATTTCTTTTTTTATAATACAAAGGAATATAACCAATCTGTTTTAGGTTCATACATTCACAAAGGAGGACATTTTACTTCTTGTCTCCCTAGAATGCAGTATTTTGTCACACTATGATGTTAGTTTAATCATAGGCATTATGAGTACCCATTATCCTTTACTGCGCACATTCGGAATAATTGTGTATAAAATTATCTAGTCTCAGTAATTCATCCTTATTTACACGATTGGTTATGTACTCATCATAGTAAATTTCAGGTCTCAATTCTGGTTATAAAGTTCAGGTCGAAAGCTTTAGAAATTACTATGTTCACAAATTGACGATTTTCAGCTCGTTATCGTAATTTGAATGGAGTGTTTGCCATCAAGTGGATTTGCTGACTAGGGTGAAACACTCACTTTCTACTTTGATATGTACCAGTTATTCCAGCTAATGTTGTTTTGTGATGCAAAGCATTGTTAACGTGGAACTTAAAAACTTGGATTTTATTTTCAGTATCCTCATCAACTGCCGTGCCTGCATCATCAAATTTGTACTTATCTTCTGGAGGTGCTACCAGCCAAATAATACGACAGGGAAATCAAACACAGGTAACCTTAGTCCGACGGGATCAATATGATTCAACACATGGTAATGCGAATGATCCAAGTAATACTACGTCATCGATTCTCCAAACTATTCCACAATTGGATGGTGCTATTGATGATGACGATGATGATGTTGATGAGGACGGTGGTAGTGCTAAAACCGATGCTTCATCAGCCATCCTTTTGGAGTCTAATTTAGGCAAAGAAAAGTTACATATGAAAGGAAATGTGGATATTCTACAAACTGGCAGTCAACATTCGCCAGCATATACAACAGTAAGTGTGCTTTTTACCTAAGAGTACCACTACAGTTGTTGATACATATAAGTCAAAATGGTATTTCTTGATTATAGTTATGTCTCGTTTGATCACTGGCATAAATGAATTTTTAACTATCGTTGACAGTTAACTGTTCATATTAAAGGTTTAAAACCTTATAACTGCATTATGTTAGCAGAGGACTGTTATAATCTCTTTCTTACGGTTATGACCCAGCTATTCCTATTGCTTAGTATTCTCGGACACCGATTCACTCGACAAGACCCCAAATCAGAACACGGTTGAACAGGAAAGAGATTATATTCCAAATAACAAGGTTAGATGGAAGCAAGATGCAAGCACAATAGGGAAAAGCGTCAGTATATTTATAGTTTTTACATGAGAAGATTCTAGAGTATTCCCCAACTATCGACTAGTGCTGATTGGATAAGAATTAGCCAATCAGCGTGCACCAAAGCAATCGTGAATTGAGCATGCTTTAATCCGGTCTATGTCCCGCTAACAAGGACAAGCTTAAATTCATAGCAAAATAAACGGATACATCGTTTCCATTGTTTATTTGGTCATCTGTTACTTACTAGATAAATTCAAGTCAGTCTAACTGAACGACTTAATATAGTAATATAGAACTGGGATTTGATGTTTTCTGACTGATCTATTCCAAACCACCCAGGTGGTCAGATATTCGGCATCAGGCCTGAAACTAACCAGATCTTACATGGTTCATGCATCGGAGCACCATCTGTAACCACCAAACTAGTTCATACACTTGTGTGTGTTAGTTGAATTGTAAATACCTTTTCTTGATTGTTTCGTTTTAATTACCAAGGATTAGCGCTTCAACCCAAAAAGTTTAGTCCATGTATATTATTGAAACCGGTCTGTATACGTGTTTCGAGTTTGGTCATATACGAAGGATTATAAATGAACTGGAAAGTTTTTCTTGAATAATTAGTTTGTGCATCCACAGATTTAAGAAAATTAGGATTTATTTTAGAGAACTGTGCTTTTGAATTCATGTCGCTTAGTTTGTTTGGATGTTTGTATTAACGAACTGGTGCTGCATCTTGTTGTAGCAACCTTAAGTTTTATTTAATCTCACCTTTGCAAGCATCAGCATCTTATTTCGTTCCCATTTCACATTCATATCAAATAACTCATCCACTACAACTTTACATTAACAACTAGCTTATTTGTTTAAGACTTGATATATAACTTAAACATAGCTTATTCAGTGGTTTCACCACATGCTGTAAAAGTATCTATTGGTTGAACACAGATAACCTACCGATATTTTTCACCTTTAATTACTGTATCTCTATCTTAGAATTCCAGGAGATTGTCACAATGGGGTTTATTTCCCCTTACTCAGACTTAATCAACTGGATAGTGTGGATGCTGAGTTGCATTAAACTAAGTTAATCAAGGTCTCGTTTTGTGATAAACAGTTTGTTAAGTTTTCTCTTATTACGACCCAGCTACTCTTGTTGCTTAGTATTCTTAAACAGTATCTCACTCGACACGTTCCCAAATCAGAACACGGATGAACAGGAGCGTAATCATACTCCAAATAACAAGGTTGGATGGAAGTAGGAATCACAATAAGAAAAATGTTGATATATTTGTAATTTTTACATAAGAAGATTCTGGAATTGTCTCCAGGTCTTCGTAGCGCTGACTGGTTGGGAGATAGCCAATAAACGTGCCCCAATACAATCCTGCACGGAACATGCTTTAATCCAATCTATATCCTGCTAACACAGTCGGATATTTCACTACCGATATATATTGATCAAAGTTAAACTAAACTTTTGTTTATGCACCGAGATTTCATCAGCTACATTAACGCAAAAAACACTGATATGTCATCTATCTTTGGAAATGTTGTAAAGGCGTTATAAACTAATGTCTTGAGCAGCAAGTTTGCAGTTAGACTTCACAGAAAAGTGAATATTTTCTACACTCCATATTCGCCTGTATTGCTTCATTTCAGTGAATATGAAAGGCGACTTAAAAATTATCTGAATTATCACTTGAGGTGAAATTATTAGTCTTATATAATACAATCTGTTAATTTACTTGAATTTTTCTCATGTTTCGCCATTATTTATAGCTTCACATAATGTTAAGTGAATACTCTTTTTTCTTACTATTCTTTAATAAGGATGCAAATTCCGATTTACATACGTCATTAGCCGTGGAAGCTGCTGCTGAACTACTTGCAGACATTGGTGATGACAATACATCAGCGTATTCAGACCAAAATTCAGCGAGCGTTTCGAAAGAAACTGATCAGGCAGTCAGAAATTTGATTGATATCAAGCCTAATGTATTATCCGAAAATGTCTCTTCTAATACTGATCATGGAAAAGATTTCAGAGGAAATTCAGGATCTTATGAAGATCCAGTACATGCTAAAGGTTAGTTTAGTGGTCTCTTTTTTGAATACTTGTGTTTGGTCTGTTTCATCTACCAATTTTACGTTAATGATAAGCTATTGTATTGTATTGATAACCAAATCAACGATGTGATAGATTTCGTTCAAGGATTGATTTATTATTGAACTGCAAACACAAGAAAACCAGGCTGGCTTCAGACCTGGTCGTGACTGCATCGATCACATATTCACTATTCGTCAGGTTCTAGAACACAGGCATGCTTATCGGCGTCCGACAATGGTGGTCATTCTTGACTTGAAAGCAGTATTTGACTCTGTAGACCGTGAGGTTCTGTGGCAGTGTCTGTCATTGAAAGGCGTACCTCAGAAGTACATAAACCTTGTGAAGGCTCTTTACTCGAACACTACTAGTCGAGTGGGAGCTTATGGTGAACTGTCATTTGTTTTTGCAACCTCAAGTGGTGTCCGTCAAGACTGTCCATTATCACCATTTTTGTTCAACTTCATCATAGACATGGTGATGGGAATAATGCTCTCATCGACTGAATTCTCGAGCATTGATCTCATACCAGGAGGTCTACTTTTGGACTTAGCATACGCAGATGATAAATTCCTGTTTGGTGAAGACGCTGATAAAATGCAGAGTCTATTGATAGCACTGAGCAACAATGCCAAAATGTTTGGGATGTGTTTCTCCTCTTCTAAATACAAGTTGTTGATTCAGGAATAACCTGTATGAACACCTGAACTAAGGATAGGGAGTGAAGTAGTCGAACGCGTCCCAGTATACACAACAAACAAACTGCAACGATGGGAAGCTACACTCGGGTTGTGACTTCAAGATCAATTACCAGCCCACTATTGATTTTAGACAAGTTGACGCTTTATCTAGACTGATTGGTTCACAAGCGAAACAAGAAGAGTATACTTTGGTGGCAGCAATTGAGACGGAAACAACAGTACACGGAGTATTGGAGGAATTCAAAAGATTAGAGTTTGGGAGAACACAAAGAGTGGATGCACCTGCCCAATCGCAATCGATTTGGGGCCATGTCATTCAAGGTCTCTATCCATCGGTTGCTATCATCTCGCGGATCCCAATCAGGTGGTCTACACCTACCAACATGGCTCAGTTCACTTGTCAGTGACTTCATGGATTTGTACTATGTTTTGGTCTGACTGCCCCTAGCTTTCTTCCAACCTACTCCTACACCACAAAACATCGCTCGTCGGGGCAGTCGGTGGTTGGGCATACGTAACACGTGTCCCAGTCATCTCAACTGTTGAAGTTTCACTACTTCATCAATTGATTTGTCATCCTTACCTAGTATCCGTTTCCTAACAACTGCATTAATTACTCGATGGTCCCAGGATATACGAGCAATGCTTCGAAGACACCTGATCGAATACTAGAAACCTACGAATATGCTCCACTGTTACCGGCCACGTTTCACTGCCATAAATTAGGACAGAACGAACTGCTGCTCAGTAAACCCGTCATCGTCGCTGAATACCAAGAAAGTCGGAATACCACAGGAAACTAGTTATCAAGTTGCAAGTAGACCCGAAGAAATCTTATTTCTTGAAAGGGGGAAGGTGTTTAGGAGACCCGGAAAGTTCCTGAAAAAAAAACCCAAAAAGAGGCTTCAAAATGCTGAGAAACATCTTATCCAGTCATCATCCAATAGTAGTTTTGCCAGAAACATCTGGAATGTCACATTTCCGATTGAATGATTACCTATCCTGCTGCTATGTTTAGCAGCGTTCCAGAAGCCCAAGGCCGTCTAAATGCTATATGTACCCTAGATTTTCTGTACATAAACTAACCTTACGGTTAAGTGTTCTTCCTATATTTCGCACCTTTACTCTCGTGTCTAAGTTACCATGTAGATTTAGCCTGGGGGTTAATAGAGGAGCTTAGGAAACCGAATAAAGCGTTTAGTGTGAAAATTTATCAATACTTTTATCCCAATTTTATATGTAGATGGGAAGGAAGGAAATGGTAGTTCTCTTACTGATCCTTTGGAAACATTAGCGTTAGTTGCTGCTCGCCGAAGTGGAAGCGGTGATGATCACGGTAAGTCCATAATTTTCAATGTATTACTTAAAATCCTAAGATTTTTTTGGCTAAATACATATTGTTACGTTTTACAATTTTATTTGCTACTCTTTCACTTCATTCCGATTCATGTTATTTAAGTTTTAACACTCTTGACAAATCAGTGTACGGACAAAATGGTTTCCATTGCCACGAGGATAATCCAACTTCCCTCCATCAACCCTAGTATTCCTTATAAATTATAAAACGTGTTTTGCAAAGGTTGATTTATAAGCAATAAGAAATTGTCAATCCAAGAAACAAGTTGAATTTCAAATCTTAGTCTTAAGGTGTTAGTGAACTTTCTCAGTTCTCTACTCACAAACTCACTGAGACAGAGTATGAACTTACAGGACGTCGATGCATAAAGTAAAAACTCGTGGTATCACATTGACAATGATTTGGATCCCATTCTTCTCAGATAGAGTTGACCATAAACTCTGAATAAACACAACACATACTTACGCCTGTTACTCCCAATGAAGCATAGGTCGCCGACCAGCTTTCTCCAATCCACTCTGTCCTGGGCCTTCTTTTCTAATTCCATCCAATTTTTGTTCATTCTTCTCATGTCTATCTCCATTTCCCGGCGTAATGTGTTCTTTGGTCTTCCTCTTCTCCTCCATTGGCCTTGAGGATTCCATGTGAGGGCTTGTCCAACACATACTTGTTCGTTTTTATTCTACTGTTGGGACTAAAACATCTTTTGGTAGGATCGATATAAAGGTACTTCTCCTGAAAACTAAGTGGGATTTCCTCTATACTCTAGTGTCAGAACATGTATGCCCGGTGAACTCATATCTCTACGCGTTAACAACAGAATTCTTTAATGATACCGGGAAGCGTATTAGTTAATTTGATTGATAGTTAACACCTAAGATTCAATCATTATCTGGTTACCCAAAATTGCTGACCGTCCCAGTTCATACAGAAGCAATTGTATATCGGTTATTCAATGATTGAAAATTTCAGAATTTCACCAAACTAAGCAGTTGTCACTGAAGGAAGACACTTACTGAATTAATCAATCAATAGGGCCCTACTTAACGATTGTCAAGCTAAGAGTTTATTTCAGGAACAACTTGGAAAACAGTTAGGCAGCCATGTAGGTGATGCCCACCCCGATGCAGCATGGAATGATATCCGAAAAGCTGTGGAAACAGCAGTAATATCTGCTAGTACGGCAAACCGTAAGGTTAGGGAGCAACACTGGATCTCAGCAGCACCTACCGCACTGATAGATGCTCGAAAACTCATTCCATCTGGCTCTGAACATAACGAAGAACGGAGTCAGCTTAAGCGCAAGCTGACAAGAAGCCTACGCAATGATTGTGAACAGTAGTGGGTAGCGAAAGCAAGAGAGATGGAAAAGGCAGCGGCAATAGGTAATAGCAGACAATTGTTCAGACTTGTTAAGGAAACCGGTATTAGGTATCCGACTGTTAGCGAAACAATCTCAGAGAAAGATGGACATATTATACATTCTCAATCCAGGAGATTGGATCGATGGGCAGAACACTTTAGGGATCAGTTCAACTGACCTTCAGCCACACTTCGGTTTCCCACGATCTCTAGTCAACCTGAATGGCAAGTTAATTTAGGTCCTCCGACTCTTTACGAAGTTGAAAAAGCTATAGGAAATCTGAAGCGAGGGAGAGCAGCAGGCCCTGACAGGTTTACTCCTGAGATTTTTAAGGATGGTGGTCCAGTATTAGCAGTGAGATTAACCGAGGTCTTAGGTAGAATTTGGGAATTGGACGTAATCCCATCTGACTGGTCTCAATCACTGATTGTGCCAGTCTATAAGAAAGGACAAAAGTCCTCTTGTGACAATCACAGAGGAATCAGTTTGACTAATATAGTGTCTAAAATATTAGCTTCAATAATACTTCGACGCCTAACTAAAGCTCGTGAAGAGCAGACTAGAGAAAACCAGGCTGGTTTTCAACCTGGACGTGGTTGTATAGACCAGATATTCACACTACGTCAGGTCCTAGAACATAGACACACATTCAGACGCCCCAAAATAGTAGTATTTCTTGACCTTAAAGCAGCATTCGACTCTGTTGATCGTGAGGTTCTGTGGCAGTGTTTGTCATTGAAAGGAGTACCAAAGAAGTACATTAACTTTGTAAAGGCTTTCTACTCGAACACAACTAGTCGAGTGAGAGCTTATGGCGAACTGTCATCAGAATTGATTATCTCAAGTGGTGTTCGTCAGGGCTACCCACTCTCTCCATTCTTGTTTAACTTTGTCATTGATATACTTTTAGAGATGACACTTTCCTCATCTAAATTTCCGTGGGTTGAACTTCTACCGAGAGATTCACTTTTTGACCTAGAATATGGGGTCACTGAGACCCACCCCTAGTCGGATCCTCTTTTACAGGTACCTCCAGAAGAACCCTTCCACGGTGTGGGCAGCAGTCACACGGAGCCCAACCAAGTAGTCTGCATCTACCAACATAGCTCAAACCAGTTAGTGATTCTATGGACTGCCCTCATTCCTCTAACGGCAAGGGAGGAGAGAGAAATATGCTACATAACGAATAGTAACTAGAGGATAGAAAAAATGAGTCAACAAAGCAAATAATGTTTTATGGTAGACATAAAGTTGTGATTGGTGAATAAAAAATGTATAGTCATACAAGGTCAAAGAAAAGTAATGTCGTGGTGAGCGTTTCATGTTACCATTGGTGGGTTGGCTTATCGATCACACTTCGCAATTACATCGTTTAAAGTTTTGACTTCCACTGAAAGCGCGTTTACAATAATAATTGAAGAGAGCAAGAACTATGTGTATGAAATAATAATTGAACTGTAACAATATTTCTCTAAAAAAGTTTGAATTTTAAACAAATAACTACCAACAAAAGATTGGTAGTTATTGTCATGATTGGGGGAGTGTTTGAGTAAGTTTCCTGTATGTGCTTTATTCCAAATAATATATTTTAGTGACGAAGGTTTCCTCTGTGTTAATAAAGAACTGATTTATCGTATGTAAGATTCTTCTTGGTCTGTTCGTATTTCGAGACCGTTATAAGTCGGAATAAATCATTATGCAGCTTTCTACATGGCCGATCGTTTTAACTGAATTCTTAAGTCTGTAATGACTTACACTGCAGTCAGTCAGCTACAATGTAGGACCAGGTACATATATCCATCGGTCCAAGTTGCCATACGTCATTAACACAACAAGATGAACACCGGATTCATAAATGTAGTTAATTCAGAGGTGGTAATATATAAAAGAAAGATTGTATATAAGGAATGTAGTATAGGAAGAGAGAATAAGTTGATAGAAAGATATAAAGCAATTCCAATCTCACAGTGATGACAGAGACTGTATACACCTACGCCATTTTGATCGATTCTGAACTATATCACCAAGAGTCTCCCACCATTGGTTACGACAGTCACACGGACCCCATCCGAGTAGCCTGCATCTACCAACATGTCTCAGACCAGAAGTTAGTGATTCTGTGGACTGATACCACATTTCGGTTTGGTCGAACCTAACTGTCTTCCATCCGTCTTCAACACTAGTCAGCATTGCGCGTTGTGGTAATCAGTGTTCAAACACACGTAACACGTGGCCCAACCATCTCAGTCGATGAAGATTTACAACTTGATCAACTGATTTACCATCATCCCCTAATACCCTTTGTCTAACCTCACTATTACTTACCCGGTGATCCTAGGAGATGCGAGAATTATTTTCAAGACATCTGTGATCAAATACTAATAAATCATGAGTATCCTTTACTCTTAATGACCACGTTCCGCAGTCGTAAGGTAGAACAGAACGAACTGCTGCAGTGTATTCGTTCTTTAATTGATAGACGAATATCTCGCCTTCATCATAGGTGACGTAAGTTGGCAAAGGCCAAATGAGGTTTTCAAATCCGTGCTAAGATTTCATCAGATACCAACCGATTACGACTGATCAGACTTCCAAGTTAGGTGAAATTGTCAATGCGTTTGACTACTTCACCCTCTGTCCTTAGTTCAGGAGTTGATACAGGTCAGTCGTGAAGCAACAACTGCCATCTAGAAGGAGAGAAGCCCATTCCAAAAGACTGTATTCTATCAGCGTCTTCACCCAGTACTTACATGGGTGACTTACAGTGCCAACAAGGTCTTAATTGATGGGAGCATGAATAACCTATGAGCTGATTTCCTCCAGTCGCGTATGCCATTTTATGTTCATTTTGCGTTCATATTCTCTACACATTATGTCATTGCGTTTTTCTGTTGATTTGCATTGTATTCATCGATTTTAACAATCGAGTATTTTCGTCTAATTAAATCACAGAAGACCTTCATCCATAACAATTGGTCTTTTAAGTTTGTAATATCAATGTTTTCCAAGAAATTCATTTTTGTCGTATTTATCTATTTTTCTAACAGAAAATGATTCAGTCATCTCACATTCTACAGTTTATTCCAATTCTGATTCACATGTTATTTGTAATTCAAATTCTGGTCGATTAGTTGCTGTTTCTCTCCCTTATTCTCGCCTGTCACCATTATCTTCCACTTTAGGAGGGGGACAAGTTTCTCGTTCTGTGACAGGTTTGGTCGCGAATTCCCATTCAATCGTAACAACATCTACCAATTGTTCTTTAATAAGTTCTTCGACTACTGTAACACCTGGTACATTGATTAGTCGAGGCGACAATTCTTGGCATGACGTTGGCGTTATTAAGTCGACAAATTATACTGTAACAATGTATTCAGCCTGTACAAATGATGCTGGTGTACATATGGAAGTACGTTTATAGTCATGACTTATACTTTGGAAAAATATCATCTTGGAACTTTGACAACAATTATTTTTTGAAAAGTGATAAAATATAAGTAAATAAAGGATCTAGGTGATTGAATGACAGTAAAAGATAAGGAAAAGTTTACCTCTTCACGTCACTTGTGTATTTAGACCTAAGCTTATGAGAACATTGTGGAGTATAGACCCATTATTCTTTTTTCCCATGAATCATAGTCTGTTTATTATGTTGATAAACTACGGTCTAATGGATTAGTGATGTCCACTAGACAGTGTTTTAGTGATAATAACTCTATGAGAAGCGATGTCTCACTAGTTTTTAAACCACGTTGTATTCAGCTAGTAGTTTCCAGTTTCGAATCCTGTCCCAACTGCCTTGGTTTAGACAGCCAGGTTTTATTCACAAGCCATCACGCTAAATAGTGTGACTGAAAGCTGACCAAGTAAATCTGTACTTGGTAAACGAGTCACATTATCATGTTCTTATTAATAATACTTTCGATATTAGTTGAATAAATATTCTGTACTTGGAACCGTATATTAGCTTTTGATGATTGCTGTTCGTGATAGTAATAAAAATTGTTGTTTGTTACTTACCCTTAAAGATATGTTTTAGTCTGCCAGATTGATAAAACAGTTCTCTCGTGCATTTTACATAATCAGTATTGATTAATATTAGAGATGTTAACTAATCACTGTCCATTGAGCATAGTACTATCATTACAACTTTAACCTGCTTTTTGATTGTTGAGCAAATTCACATAAAATAAGAAACGAGCGTTCATTCATAGAAACTGGTCCGTTCCTTTAACAAACGGTATTTGACTGCATTTGTCTGTCTCAGAAACCATTTTAATAACACATTTCATGATTTCTTTTAGATCAATCCATATTTTATTGTAATACTTTTTATTGTTTAAATAAAAAAAAACAGGCTATCACCGCATTACAGGGTCCCAATGGGATTGGACCGAATGGACTAACTACACAGGGTCCTAAATTCCAACTCGCTCCTGGAACAGCCTACAAATTCCGTGTTGCAGGCCTCAATGCTTGTGGTCGAGGTCCTTGGTCGGAGATAAGCGCATTCAAAACCTGTTTACCAGGTTACCCAGGGGCTCCCAGTGCTATAAAAATAACTAAATCAGACAGTGGTGCACATTTAACGTGGGAAGCGCCTCAGAACACGGCGGGAAAGATTACAGAGTATTCTGTCTATTTAGCTGTCAAGTCTCAGACTGCAGGACAAGATTCTACAGAGAGCAAGGTCAGTTGTTATTTTGTTGGTGAAGAACGTACTAAATATTTTGTGCAAATTTACCTGTAAATCGCTGTTTTTTTCTACATCAGTAACACTGAATCCATCAATTTTCATATTATAATGCTCGCACGATCGATAGCCTACGTAAATACTAAAGGTCATTGTCTAGTCTGTTAATGCGTTCCCTAAACTTTATAATATAATAAGAATTTGATATAGAACAATAGTTCGTGTAGTTTTGTAACTATTTTCACAGATGGGAAGTGTTCTAAAATTCGAAGAAGTCTGTGTATTATGATTTCTCTTATTACGACCCAGTTACTCTTGTTGCTTAGTATTCTTAAACAGTATCTTACTCGACATGTTCCCAAATCAGAACACAGATGAACAGGAGCGTAATCATACTCCAAATAACAAGGTTGCCCCAATACAATCCTGCACGGAACATGCTTTAATCCACTTTATATCCCGCTAACACTGAATATATAATTCAGAGCATTTTATGAGCCTCAGTTAGATAGACAAATAATTTTAATTAGATGTTGGTATGCTGGTCACATTATTAAGTCGTTCCATCTAAAATTTCACTCATCCGTTCGTGCTGGTTTTACAGTCTTCGTTCTATGACATTTGTCGAGGTTAATTCCTGTCTATTTGAATCTAATAGGTGATATCCCGTTAACTAAGTATTTAAGTAAACCTGTTTTCGTAGTTCTTATAATGAATTTACTCGAGAATACTTAAAAGCCAGAAGAGCAGTTGTAGGGATGGTATTTTGTTAATAATTAGTAAAGTCCGCAAACACGCAGGTAAATGAGACTAGGTGTGTGTGTGTGTGTCCGTTCAATATGCTTAGCATACATCCAGCAAGTAGAATATTCACGATAGTTGTTAAAATAACAAATTAAGTTAGGTCACTATCATGTTCATCATATGAACATTGTGTGATTGGCGAATTTTAAATTTCAGATTGATACAAATCTCTATACTGTGAAGTGTATACACACTAATCATATGTAACAAAATTAGGAAAATTTAAAACACTATATGAGCTAAGATAAAGTGAACTGGAGGATTAACTTAAAGTTTTGTTTAAATTACCGTCGCTATTTTTGGATGCTATTATGGAAATTGACTCAAGTTGTATTCGTAGTTGAATGCTTAAGAAATTTCATACCAACAAACTTATTGTAATGAGGTAAATTCATTTCATTTCATGTGCTTTAAAGCTTCAAAATATTTACTGACTTGTGTAGACACATAAAACGTTTTACGGCTGTAACTATTTACATAACATATGTAGGAGTATTAGTTCTCTAGCGTGATCTGTAGCGTTAGCTTGGTTTCCCTATAGTATCCACAGTGTGATTGACTGTGCTTCTTTTACCTCCCTACAAATTCTTTCACTGTTTATCTATAGGTCGGTTCTACACCATCTGGTATGGCATTCGTTCGTGTATATTGTGGTCAATCACCCTCAGCAACTGTTACTTCTGCAACATTGGCTACTGCTCATTTAGATCTTAGTTCAAAACCTGCTGTGATCTTTCGGATTGCTGCTCGCAATGAAAAAGGATATGGACCGGCGACACAAGTTCGTTGGCTTCAAGATGTATCTAATACACCTTCCTCTGTTGCTGGAATAAGTCCTCAACCCATCAATTTCCAAGCAACAAATGCCTCACAGCCGGTTACCAAGCGTGCTCTGAGTTTAGGAACATCACAAGAAGGGTAAGCCCATTGAGGTTGAACATAATAGCTTATAACTATTGGTTAGTTGCTAGTTGAACTCGCGTGGTAATACGTATATGATCCACTGGTGGTGAGATGAATTCGGGTAGATTTTGTATTACGAGTTTACTTACCAAGTATCACTGCAAATATATTTGTCGAATAGAAGGAAACATTTGACGCAATCGGCAAGGCTCTTGATAGGCTAAGTAAATGGGAAGTGTCCAACAGGTTCATATTATCAATGAAACATATAGCTAAGCTTTAACAGTCATGGAAAACATTATAAATTAGCGACAATTGGAATTACTTTTAAATGATCTGCAGTTAATTTTTTAGGATTTGGAGTGGTGTTTGTAAGGGCATTGATGTCTGCATTTTATTCGGCTGAAATTTAGTTACTAACAAGCTAGATACTTATGTAAACAGAAAAGCGACTAATCTCCTTATAGTTTGATGCAAAAGTAGCAATAACAATTAATTCATAGGCACATCATCGATTGAACAATGTTTGGAACTAGCTATCAATAAAGGATCACAAATCAGTCGACGAGGTCGAGAATCTTCATCAACTACAGATGCCTAACCAGTATTTACTTTGAAGCTTAGTGTTGTCTGACTGAACGCTAGGGCTGTCCAAAGCAAAACGTGGGGTTAGCGTAGTCATTGACTGTTGATCTGAATCATGTCGGTAGTTGCTGACTTGGGGTCAGCGTGATTATCATAACCAATAGTTGGATACGTTAGATGACATTGCTCAAAATGACTTAATGGCGCAGATGCATACACACTTTCTCTTACTCTCAGATAATGGGTCCTAATTTTCTTTCATCTTTTCGAACTATATTCCTAATGTTCAGTCTTCAGCATCGCTACCACATCAATTTCAGTTTCTTTGCCACTCATCACATTATCTTAATGAGATATACAAGGACTTAGTCCAGTCCCATTGCGATGCTATCCGATAATGACGACCAACTGATATCGGCTTAACAATGAACTCTTATTCTAAAATTAGGTATTGTTTTACACATGGTTGTATTCATCATTTAAATCATCGAGTCTCGTTCATGAACAGTTTTGTACAATCTACGTTTTTTCTATATATAATTATTTCCAGAGCTTTTACTACACCAGTCAAGCGATTAAAATCAGATGATCAATTATAGACGTGTTTGTTGCTCATATACATGTTTTCTCCTACAAAATCAACTGCACATTCCTTTCTTCATCCTTTGGAATTAGTGTGCAAGTATGGTTTTTAATTACTATTATCATTATTTGGGAAATTTATACAAAATCCATCGCATTGCCCCCCCCCCTTATTTGCATTTCTAAGATTGTCTACTTTCTATCGTTTCATATTTGTTGTTGTTATTATTCTGAAGCACTAAAAACTCTGCAGTATCTGAAATATTTTAGTGTTTCTGAATTTTGTTTTTCAACTGTTAATGATAAATTATTATTATTATTTTTTCATCATTTGTTCAAGCATAAAATCTGCTGAAAAATGTACATATATATATATACAAATTCATATGTTGTCCTATTTAATTTACTTGAAACATTGATTTGCTTATTTTTGTGGATTCATGTTGTGTTTTTTTTGTTTTCTTCCTGACATTTTGTACAATTGTTTATTATTATTTCCTCTTATAATTTCTTTGTACTTATTATTATATGTGTATATTTATTCACTGGCATGTTTTTATTCAACTCGTTTTGGTTACCGTTTATACATTTTCTTGATTACAGTCATTTTCATTACTGTCCCCATATGGGCATTACAACAATGGTAATTATTCTCTTACTTTTGAAAAATAAGTAGTGAGAAGCTTAATAACTTAAATATATAAGAACAAACCTTATTACTCATTGCCTTTGGTTTCGACAGTTTGTGTACGTTCAAGTTTAGTTTATTATATTGTGTACAGTTTTGATAGTGTTTGCTTGGTTATGTCTTTTGTTAAGTTAACGATAAAAAAAAGTTTATCTTACTTGTACAGATTGACTATTCGATTAATGTCATTGTCCTCAGTACACAAAGACTTCTGATGTGTATTTTTGAAAGCATCAAATTCCAGCTAGATTCTTGCATTTCCCACCCTTATGGTGGCTAACCATTCTGGTGTTTTTTTATTAAGAAGAGTATGGAAAGTTTTTATCTACTGTCTCAGAAAACACTCAACACAAAATTTTATGGGTACAATTAGAAATTTCATCGGTCTGTTGCAAACTGATAATACGTTAAAACAAGGCAATAGACAGGTGTGGATATTTATTGCGAGAGGTTACATATGCATATACATAGCCCTTAATCATAAATGTCCTCGAAGTATTGCTCGTTTATCCTGGGACCATCGAGTAATTAATGCAGTTGTTAGGAAACGGATACTAGGTAAGGATGACAAATCAATTGATGAAGTAGTGAAACTTCAACAGTTGAGATGACTGGGACACGTGTTACGTATGCCCAACCACCGACTGCCCCGACGAGCGATGTTTTGTGGTGTAGGAGTAGGTTGGAAGAAAGCTAGGGGCAGTCAGACCAAAACATAGTACAAATCCATGAAGTCACTGACAAGTGAACTGAGCCATGTTGGTAGGTGTAGACCACCTGATTGGGATCCGCGAGATGATAGCAACCGGTGGATAGAGATCTTGAATGACATGGCTCAAAATCGTTTGCGATTGGGCGAGTGCATCCACTCTTTGTGTTCTCCCAAATTCTAATCTTCTGAATTCATGTTCCTTTTTTCGTCTTTCCAAATTTATTTCGCTGGATTATACTCCTTGGAAAGCATCCTCAAACCCTAATCTTTCCGAATACTGCTTATACTTTTACCACCTCTACCACTATGGAATTTGAATCGATAATTGTATCTGTGTACTAATGTGGTATCGCAACTCATACTGATGTACGTACGTATGAAGTTCCGCGTTGCTACTGACTCACTGCATTTATTCATCCGTTTGCATCTTCCAATGTTCTGCCAACATCGTGACTTCGAAGGACTGAAACTTACTGTTCGACGGTTGTTGCAGCTTTGACTCCGTATTCTGATACACATTACTTACAAACGTCCTTGTGGGCGGCATCAACCAGAATATCAATATTGACCGTAGCTCCACTAATTCCCCTAGACCTAGTAACAGTGCCGTGTAACACTCTGTTGACTGGTGATCATAATACATTTCGAGTCTTTTTATGGTGAGGCAGTACATAGTGTAATTACCGGACGAGTTTATTGGTATGTTCTTCACTGATTATTATATAGGTGAAGACTATAAATGGTCAAGCATTCATGGTTACTCAGATTAGTAGCAGTCTTGGTCTTATCTACGTACTGTCAAATTTGCTATTTCATCCCAACTGGCGACACCAAATATTATATAATGTTCTGGGTATTTTAAACTACGAATCGCTATATTTTCCCCAAACAACAATGCTGAAACACCGTTTATAACAGTAAGTTAATGCGTCAGTTTGTATACACGCAAATTCAGATAGACATACTTTCGCCGTACGTCCGATTAACTACTTTTATTTTGAACAGTAAGTTAATGCGTCAGTTTGTATACACGCAAATTCAGATAGACATACTTTCGCCGTACGTCCGATTAACTACTTTTATTTTGAACACGACCCATTGATGTCATTCATTCAGTGTTGCAAAAACGATCCTAACATATATCACAAATGCCCTGGTACGGCCGAGAGTAGGGAGAGTCCGCTCTCATATGGCCACGCGTATATACCCTCTGCCAGGGAAGTCCTGCTCACTGCCTTCTCGTGGCGGGGGTGTTGTTTACGAAAAGCGAATGTCCGGCGCTTTAACCGGATTCCAAACCAATGGTGCACATGGGCTCCAGTATCCTGCGGGAACAAATGGCGTATGAACCAATTGTTGGTCACCGGCTTCCATGGGACTGCATCTCCTTACGATGCTCCACTGCCTTGTGGATCAGACCTTCAGGTCGAAGGCTCGGGGAGCGGTCCCCTAAGAAAACCACCTGCTTCGGTTTGGGCACCCGGGCAGTATCACAGCCCTCACACATATCGAATGGGATTTGTGTGGCGCATATGTATTTGGTGCCTCCTTGTGCCAATGTCTGTGTTAAAATAAATAAAATAAACTAATGATGAAGTCGTAAACTTTTATCATTACATCATTGATGTAAGCTAGGCAGCTACCATCGCTGGTTATGACTGCCACTAACGTCTGTCCGGAGATTACATTTCGATACTCCAGTATCAGGTGGACTGAAGTTAAGCGACTTTTGCTTTAGGTGCTGTCTCTTATCTGCTCGTATTGTTGGAAAAGTTACGTAATACTTCCAGGCACAGTAGTTGCAAAGCTATATGATGTGTCGTGGTAGAATTTGTGCGACAGGAAAACCTATGGTGACATGCGATAACAGCCGGTTCCTCGGCGAAGACTGGAACTGTTTGCGTTTTCCGCAAAAGTTCTGTAGTCTAATGCTCCTTATTCTTCAAAATGTGTTGCTAAGCCGCTGTCGGATTGCGCGGTCGTCATACAGCTGTTAACACTTGAGCATTGTCTTATCACAAGCTTATTAAGGTTGGGCTCTAAAAAAATTGGCGAAAAGTCTACAAAAGGTAATGTCCAAGAAAATGAATACGTATGGTATACAACTCCGGAAGAAATTGTTTTTTTCTGTTAACTACTGAGAATACTTGATGTTATGGCGTATGGAAATAGTGATACCAAGCTCTTGGATTTCTGCGTTTGATGTGCATGAACACAATAGACCATCGCTTACGAAGTTAAACGGGAGAGGGATAGATGGTCTTGGAATGAAAGGATATCGGGAGTGCCTCAAGTGATGTCAATAGTCTACTATGTTCGTTAAAAGTAATGATATGAGTGTTGAATACCCGTTGGGATCTTCTGTAGGATTATCTACTGCTCACAGTAGTATTAGAATCGTTATAATTCATGTATATCAGAAACTTATGTCATTTTTATGACACCTAAATATTTGGCTTGCACATCCGTTAATTCTATAAGCACTTTGGGGATCTGATGGAAATCTCAAGGTTAAAGTAGTTGATTCTAGACCAATTTTTCAATTGATAACTTTCAATCCTCTGCCAGTTCTACTGAAAGAAGTATAACTGGTTTACAGCTTGTATTGCTTAGATTAAACAAACACATCCCAAAAAAGAATTATATGAAAAATCCAGTAGTGCGATGATCTAGTAGTATTTACAAAATTTGTACAAAGAATGATAAACTACTCTGCTTCGTTGTTTGTCTCTTCTGAATCCACTTCTTTACTTTGACGTGATCGTTTAGTTTTTGGCAATCTGTTATTGTTTGATGAGTCTTTTCTTTTTTTCTTTATTTGTTTCTGCTTTTCCTTGATACGTAAGTTCTAAAACAAAGTTAATAAAAATTGGAACCAATTTTGATGGTATACAGCATGAAAAATGTGAAACGTAAGGTAGGATGGGGTTCAAACTCTTTGGTCATAAAGCCACTGTTTTAATCTTAATAATGTAATTTAATAACTGGTTTTTTAGCATTACATATAGAAAGTATGTGTTAGAGAAAATTTATCCGAAAAAATGGAGTCCTCTCAAACCAAGCAACTGGCATGACGTACAGAATAGTTCAACTGGCCACTACCTGTATTTCATTTGTTCATTAGTCACGGTCAATCTGAATGAGAGGTTAATATCGGGTCTTGAACTCATCAAAGCTGACAAGGCCGCAACTAAACTCAAGGCAAGAAAGATCTGTTGGTATTAATGGGTTATGTTCTGAGGTCGTTAAGATTGGTCGATTTACCAGCTTAGTTTTATTTGAACACATAAATATTGGTACAAAGGGGCACCGCATACATATGCCCCACACAAGTCGCTTGACTTGTGTGTGGGCTGTGATACTGCCCAGACTGAAGCAAGTGGTTTAGCAGCTAGTTTAGACGTTATTCAGTCAAACTGGTTACGATCTTACATTTTAGAACAGAAGTCTTCATATGGTGTCCGGAAATTAGTCTAACCAATACATGTTCGTTCTAGGCCCTGTTAATGATTACTAAAAAAATTATGGAAGACCCAAAACTGCATATATATATATATATATATATATATATATATATATATATATATATATATATATATATATACTGGGAACCATTA